GCCGGCGACTGATCTGCCTCGCCAGAGAAGAGCGCAATGATGGTGCCAACTTGGGCCAGTGAAGCAACATCCTCCACAACTAGATTGAAGAACAAAAACAACAGCAACTTGTCTGTTCCCCTTCCCCCAACTCCCCAGCACTGTTCCCATCCCCCCAATTCCCCAATAAAAAATCTTTAAAAAAAATAAATAAAATAAGTTCAATACATAACTGAAGCTAGGGAAATCTCCTAGAGCATAAAGGAGAAAGACACACCAAATACAAAAAAGAAACAGTAGGATCGATCCTGGGAATCAAAGCTCCAAGTAATAGGCATTTCAGAAGTATAGGAATCCTGCAAAAATGGGGAAAGCCTACAAAATATCAATCAAGATAAAAGGGGGGGGGGACTTAAAAATTATGAAGTACAAACTGTTCCCAGATGCAAGTGGCCACTTACTACAGACTACAATAGAATGCTTTGTGCTCTGCCAGCTGTATCAGCACCCCGTGGTGCCTTGACAGAGAGGGTGCCAGGGATGGCCAACTCATCCAGTCTAATGAGGGAGGCATCCTTTATTTTTTCTTCTTGCTACTCACACATATATTCTTTCCAATTATGTATTTTATAAACAATACCTCCAAGTTCATTATGCCATTTCTGATTTAAACTCTATCAAGGTTTAGATTTCTATCAAGTAGTAAGTTCATCCTGAAACATACCTTATTCAAAGTATTACTATGAGTAATTTTTCCTTCAGCTTTTCTAATAGGGCTACGTAAGCAAACTAGGTTTTTCTTTTTTGTTTTGTTAAAAATTTTCAAATATGCACAAAAGTAGACAACTGTATAATGAACACCCACACCGCCTATACTTAACAACTGTTACTATCCTGCCATATTTGTGCCTTCCTACAGGATGATTTTAAAGTAAACTATGCGTACATGAGGTGAGGATCTTTTCTTACCACAACATCATAAAAGATTAGCATACTAGCTGATAATTTCACAGTGAGTGCTGGCTGGAGCCCTACTTCCCGTTCTGTACTGCAAGTGGCCTTCTGTCAAAGTCTATGTGATAATTCTTGACACAATGTAGATTTCATACTTAAGTTACTTCTCCAGTTCCCATCAGGACAAAATTATCTTAATTACCTTAGGTTTCAAAAAGTTTAAGTATTACTCACGAAGTAACTTTGCTATATAGAAATATAGCAGATCTATTATAAAGCCAGTTTTATACTGGCAGTTCATGCTAACAATTCACTTTTCTAATAACCTGTACTGGAAGCATCTGCCAACTATTCATTCTGTGTTCAAGTGAGAATATGCAACTCTATTTCAGGAGCATTATACATTTTTTATATATCCTCAAGGATTAAAAAAAGTTCAGTAAAATTTACTTTGTAAATCTAAACACACATATTCATTTTTATTAACTGTCCCTACGAATACCTTGCCATTTAAAAAATTGATAGTCCCCTCAAGTCTTCCTGTTTTAGACTTTTCATTCAACACTAAAACTTTTAATTCACAACTCACTCTATTTTCCTTTCTGCTTTTCCTCCTCAGCTGTGTGTGCGCTCTGAAAGGAGGGTTCCTGGCCTGGCCAATAAAAATTACACATCTAATGACTCTTGTTCCTCCAAAACACCTAACATCAGTGCCCTTGGTATTATCTTTAAATAGGTAGGTGCAAAAATAGCTACTGGAAATGTGAACTGTCTGTGGCTAGGAAAAATCAGGATGTTCGCTAAATGATCTTTCTTCTTTCATTTTCTTCTCTTCTCTACCCCATCCATAAAGTAAAATATATGCTTAGTATAAAACTTTTTTTGTGGTTCCCATAATGATATGCAGTTAATGACATCTGACATATTAAACTTACTGTTAGGAATTCCTTTAATATAAAAGTCAATTCCTTGCATTGTGGACCCTTATAAAATCCATATAAAATATTATCATCTGTAGTATTACCATATGTGTATGCTATAATTTAACTATACATCTCTCTTGAATAGTTAGCTTTTTTGGCTTGCCAGATTTTTGATGTAGTCCCCTTTTGTGGTTTTATGGAGTGCATGTGTATATATATATATATATATATATATAAGAAGACCTTTGAATAATCACTAATATAGCACATTTAGGCCAACTGTGTATGTCTGAGAATATGATTTTACTCTTTAAAACAATTAGATTATGGTAATAACCTTTACATTTATTATACATCATGAAGTCTCACCAATGAGTAACTACACACAGAATCTGTGATCAGCAACACAATCCTAAAATGGTCCTGATCCTTCAGAAAAAAACAAACTTGCACTTTATTCACTCTAAGAACAAATTACCAGAAAAAAGCAGACACTAGCTTTCCGTGCTACCCACAGAGGGACCCCTACGGCCTTGTTTTCGGTTCCCACGTAACTTAAAGGGAATCTTTCACAATGTGCGGGCCCTTGATGTCCTGCAAATGAAGGAGGAGGATGTCCTCAAATTCCTCGCTGCAGGAACCCACTTAGGTGGCACCAACCTTGACTTTCAAATGGAGCAGTACATCTACAAACGGAAAAGTGATGGCCTCTACATCATAAATCTGAAGAGAACCTGGGAGAAGCTTCTATCGGCAGGCAGCTCATGCCATTGTTGCCACTGAAAACCTGGCTGATGTGAGTAGTGGTATCATCCAGAAATACCGGCCAGTGAACTGTGCTGAAGTTTGCTGCTGCCACTGGAGTCACTCCCACTGCTGGCCACTTCACTCCTGGGACCTTCACTAACCAGATCCAGGCAGCCTTCCGGGAGCCGAGACTTCTGGTGGTTACCGATCCCCAGGCTGACCACCAGCCTCTCACAGAGGCGTCTTATGTTAACCTGCCAACCATCGCTCTGTGTAACACAGACTCTCCTCTGCGCTATGTGGACACTGCCACCCCTTGCACCAAGGGAGCTCACTCTGGAGGTCTGATGTGGTGGGTGCTGGCCCGGGAAGTTCTGTGCATGCGTGGTACCATCTCCCTCCCGCGAGCATCCGTGGGAGGTCATGCCTGACCCTCTACATCTATGGAGACCCTGAAGAGGCTGAAAAGGAAAAGCAAGCCTCTGTTGAAAGAGCTGGTGACCAAGGAGGATTTCAGGGCGAATGAGTCCTCTAGTTCCGAGTTCACTGCTGCTCAGCCTGAGGTCGCAGACTGGTCTGAAGGTGTGCAGGGGCCCTCTGTGCCCATTCAGCAGTTTCCTATAGAAGACTGGCGCGCTTAGCCTGCCCCTGAAGACTGGTCTGCAGCCCCCACTGCTCAGGCCACTGAATGGGAGGAACGACCAATGAGTGGTCCTAAGCTGTTCTTCCACAAACTCCTATGCAAAATGGAAATAAGGTTGATGGAAAATAAACAGTTTCTAAAAGTTAAAAGAAAAAGCAGGCACTATTTTCTCCAGTTTGTATTAACATAAGCAACCAAAAAGATTAATATTTTAAAACACAGCTACTTCAAAGTACATACTGAACAGCCTTTATCTACACAGGCACATTTTTATAATTTCCAAATATAATTTTATGCCACTCAAGTTAAAAAAAACAAACGATGCTTCATATTGTTTATGTTGTAAAAGTACGAGGAATACATACCAACTTCCTAATACTTGGGGAGGGGGGGGCAAAGGGAACAGGGCTGCTGGAAAATGGCTTCAACTCTTCAGTGGTTCTTATTTGTTTTAAATCAAACAAATACAGCAAAATTACATCTATTCATCTGGGTGGTGAGTACGTGGGTGTTTGTTACACTATTCTCTATACTTTGCATAGCAAAAATAACTGAATGAAAACAATAGCTATGTTTCAGCATTTCAGATTAAATAAACTCCAAATATAATGTTAAAATATCTTTGTACTTTAATCTTTTTAAAAAAAACTAAAATGGAGTCACCCAAAAAAGACATGAGTATTTTATGTACACTTTTGTTAAATCAGCTAAATCTTATAAACTCAAGTCTCAAATACGAGGACAAAATATTCCATCTTCTTGAAAAGGGAGGGGTCATAAAAGCTGAATGCAAGTGTGTTTTATAAGGCTAAAGATTGCAGCTACGTGGGAGGACCTGTTTCCATCACACGTTGGAACTAAAATATCCTGTTTCTCAAAGTGAGTTCACGAAATGATTGGCTGAATACTTTTAAACTGAGGACGCTGTTAACATTTTAAAGACACTTTTTACCCATTTTAAGTAGATTTTACAGTGTGGATAAGGCTACACAGAAAACAACTCAATAGTTTTAATAAAAGTGACCATTAAGTTATATACGAAACACTTTCTTATATACAAACAGGTTAGAAAAACAATCACAGAAAGATTCCATTCATATAGCAACAAAAAATAGGTACACACAAGATTAAATGGGAGATAGTTCTTGTTCTTGACGAGAATATTTTTGTACTGTATAAAGATATTAGTTTTCTCTAACTTAGTTTCTCTAATCCAACAATATTCTCAGATTTCTTTAGGAGTAAAAATGATTCTTAAGTTCATTTGGAATGGAGTAGTATGGAGAGAATCAAAAAAGACTCCAATAACTATGAAAAGGGACAAATTCTATCAGATACTAAAACAATATAAATCAACAGCAACAGCAATTAAAGAAAAATATCACTGAGGTAGGAATGGATAAAAACTACTGTAATAAAAAAACACCCAGATATAATATGGCAATTTAATAAATGAAAAAGGTGGTATTTCCATTAGTGGGAGAAAGATTACTTGATTAGCGGTATTAGGAGAAAGGGACTTGTCCTTCTAAAAAATATTTTTTTCATCTTTACTATATTAAAATTAAACCTACGTTTCTGAAATATTTGTTAAAAAAAATGAAATAAAATACGGTATATACAAGCAAGGGTGGTATATATGTAAATAAAACCATGGTAGGAAGCCCAATATAAGCATGACTTGAAACTGAAAAGGCAAGACAGGATAATCTGTGTATGTATATAAACTTTTTAAATTCCAGGGGGAAAAAATCACATACAATTAAAAAACTGACATACTGGACACAAGACGTGAAATATGACTAAAGCGTAATAGTCATATGTACACAAAGCTCTGAGGACAAATCAATAAGAAAAAATATCAGGGAAAGGGCAGGAACCATCATTTCAAAGGAAAAATAGAAAGTAAGCAGCAAGTATATAGAAAAGAGTTTAAACTCATTTATTTTTTTGCTTACCAGGCTGGCTGATAAGGATATTGTTAAACTGGCAGAAACTTTTTAAAGGGTAAGTTGGCATTAACCATTAAATGTAAGTGTAAATACCCTATGGCTTAAAAAAAATCCATTTTTATAATAGAAATGTATTCTGCAGGAATACTCACAGAATCATGCCAAGAGGTCTGCACAGTGAAGCCTTCAGAGAAAAAGCTGGAAATTACCCAAATGCTTATCAACAGGAGAGTGAATAAAAATAATTTATCCATTAAATGGAATATATAGTCATCCACTGAAAAATATTTAAGCATCTTTTATGCTACTGGCATTACAACAACAGTGAATAAGAGTCAGAGAATCAAGGTCATGCATCTAGTAGAGCCTGTGTTCTATTGCTAGAGAGTTAAGTAAAGAAAACAAGACAATTTCAAGAAAACTGCTGTGAAGAAAACAAACCAGGTGAGACTAGTGACTGGTGGGGAGGAGGACTACTCTAGGTAAGAGTGAGTGATGATGAAGTAACATTTGAGCAGAGGAGGAACTAGCCAGGTGAAGATGGGGCAGAACACTCCATGCAGGCAAGTGCAAAGCAAGAAACGAGCTGTTCGGTAAAGGTACTGAAAGGTTACCTGTAGCAGTGTAACTAGAAGTTAGGGAACCATGAAGAGAGGTAGGGACCAGATCAATAAGGATGTTGGAATAAAATTCAAAGTGCACTGAGAAGCCACTGGAGTGACCTATGATTTAGGCTTTTTAAAGTTACCCCTAGGCCTGTGTGGAAAAAAAGACCATGAGGAGCAAAAGCAAAACTGGGAGACCAGTTAGGAAGCTACTGTGAATCATCCAGGTGAAGGGCAGAGTGGATTACTATGTAGTGATTAAAAAGAATGAAGAAGGCTACAATGAAAAAATATTCAACATATATTTACTATGCAAAGCATCTGCCTACTTATAAAGACAGTATTGCATACATTTGCAGAACAAAAATTATATATATATATATATATTAGATATTAGAAATGATACTTGTCCAAGAAAATATCTTGTATCATTTAGCCCCATTATATGTTAGCCAAACACTGATAATACAGCATTAAGGAAAAGTCTCTAACCATAAAAGCTAAGTGGCCTATAAAATGGCCTTTCTGCAAAAGAAATGTGCAAACGACTCAGCCAATGATTAGATTAGTACCTTAAGTAAAAAACAAATTGCTAAAAAAAGGGAGGGGGGAGGAAGGGGAGGAGAGAGAAGGAGAAAGGAATTAATTCTTTGGGAAAATAACCAATGTTTTCTAAAAGTGAAGTCAAGCTGATTGCAATTTTTTTTTGGATTTTTTTTTTAATTGGGGAATTGGGGGGATGGGAACAGTGCTGGGGAATTAGGGGAAGGGGAACAGACAAGTTGCTGTCTTTTTGTTCTTCAGTCTAGTTGTGGAGGACGTTGCTTCACTGGCCCAAGTTGGCACCATCATTGTGCTCTTCACAGGCGAGGCAGATCAGCCGCCAGCTTCTGGAGGGCCACTCACACTGGCTGCTGGCTACACACGGTAGCCCATGGCAACCCACTGCCACAGGGGTTGCAGCCTACGCCGTCGCCGGCGACTCATGGCAGCCCAGCTCCAGGTTGAGCTGTTGTTCAGCATCTTAGCTGTGGAGGGCAGTGTCACTGGCCCTCATATGTGGGATCCGAACCGGGGCCCTCTGGCGTCCCAAGCCAGCTCTTAACCATCGCACCACTCGGCTGGCCCACAATATTTTTATATTTTCACAAATGTTACTGTAATTAATTACAGCAATAAATATCCTACTTTTTAGTAATTTAATAGATTTTCATTTAGTTCTTATTCTATTAAAGTGGCAGTATTCTAAGAATCAACCATCACAAATACCAGACTTCTGATTAAATAGTATCTTTTATAGCATAATTTTAGGATGTTACCTTGTAGTATCAGGTAAACATCCAATTTTGCCTGTGACATACTTAACAAGGTAACAAATTAAATGCTTAGCAACTTCAGTTCTGAACCTAATATGTTATCTCATTAAATCTTCCCAAAACCTCATAACATAGACATTTCCCAAATATCAGATGAAAAAACTGACTAGCAGCAGTTAATATAAGAGTATACAATACACACAAGGTGCCCAAAAAGTGTATACACATTTTAAGAAAGGAAAACTATTAAAATTGTAATACTTAATATATACCAATAAAAAAAGATGAATACAAATCACGTTTATTTGTGCAATTACAAGAAGTGCTCAAACTGGTTACCATCAGCACCCACACTTCTATTACAGCGAACTACTGCTTGAGCAACGCTGACCAAAGTGTCCACTTGTATAAATTTTTTTGACACCCCCAGTATAAGTATAGCTAATACACTGCTCATTTAAAATTCAAATCCACGACTTTTAATCATAAAATTATATACCCACCATGCCCTCAAAGTTACAGCCAATTCATATTTAACAGTCAATGTTGCAGACAAATCCAAAAGAAGGGTAAGCAATTTTTAAATAAAAGTTATCTATGTAATGCTAAAGAACTACAATCGCTCAACAGTGACCACGGGGCGGGGGGCATGGGATGGGACGGCAACACTTATAACATATACATATGTTGCTAAGATCTGAGTCACTCACTACATACTTCATACTTTGACTTTGTGCCTAGATAGGTACAGCGCTATGCTGACAAGAAATGCAGCATTTTCAAACATGAGTACACTGTGCCAAGAAAAACGGAAGATTTTATTTCAGAACGTTTCTAGATGTTAACCTCTAGGTTCAAGCTATGGGCAGAATAGCAGGAACTCAATGCCTTCTAGAAGTAATGCATTGCTTTACATCCCATAACAATAACCTTCCTCTTCTCCACTTGTTACAAAGGTTTCCCTTCACCACCATACCAAGACCAAGCTCACTGAGCTTAAAAAAAAAAAAAGGAAGAAAATTTTAAAAAGCTCAGCAAGTCAACTCGGTGACGGCTGGGACTATACCTTTGGTCCTTCACTGTTTCCAGGGCGCTTAGCACACATCAAGCTCTTAAGTATTTGATGGACTGAATGTGCCAATTAAGAAAAATGTTCAAAAAGTAGACAGTAGAACAAATAAAATGAAATATGGAGGCTTAGATGGCCAACAACAATT